CCCCCTCTTCCTCCCCCTCCGCCTCCTCCTCCTCCTCTCAAGCCCATCTTGGCTTAGATCGGGCGAGCGCCCGTCAGGCCAGGTCTTCCATGCCCCGCTACCATCGGCGCGCAGTCCGAGCGCCTCGGCCCCGAGGTGAAAGCAAAGGAACACTCTTCCACGATGGCTCCTCAGGGTCGCCGCGACGCTGGCCGGCGCGCTGCTGCTCCCTGGACCCAGCGGTCAGGAGCTTCGCGCGGCGGCCCCCTCCCGCCCCAGGGGAAGTGGACTTGTGGCCAGCGCGGGCGCCGCAAGAACAAGGCGGGCCGGCGGCATTGCAAGCGCTGCAAGGCCGTTCGGCAGGGCCCCGCGCCTTCCGACAAGGCCCCTGCTGTGCACTGGCCTCAGCATGGATCTGCCTTGCCCCGTCGCTGCGGGCCGCAGTTCGAGCAGCCATCTTGCGGTGGCGGCTCGGGCGACACCGGCGCAGCGGAGGTGCGCCAGCTCGCCAGCTTGGTCGAGACGCTCGCCAAGTTTGGCGACATTGAGGGCGCGCAACGGAACCAGCGACGCCTTGATGATAAGAAGAAGGAGCTCGCCCCAGCGGAGGCCCCGCTGCAGCAGCGAGTCAACAAGGCCTACAATGAGATGCGCGGCTGGCAGGCCAGGGCTAACAAGGCCTGCACGGCGCACGAGAATACGCAGGAGAAGTTGGGGCTGCAGAAGCAGAGGGCCCAGGGGGCGAACGACGAGCTGACCAAGGCGGAGACCGTGCATGCGGACCTCGTCCGACAACTCCATGCCTCGGTGGACGGACCGGCCGGTGATGACCCTAAGCCCCCCATTGCTGCTCTGGGCGCGCCTGACATCCGCACGGGGGGGTGTCGGAGATCCCGATCAGCATCACCAACCTGCTTGGCAAGGGCGGCGAGTACGAGTGGTCTACTGCGGAACGTGCCGAGGCTGATCGTCGCGTTCAACATCTCCAAACTGCCCTCAAGGGGGCTCTCATTGCATCATTCGGCGAGGTTTAAAAGAAAGCGGACGCCTTCAAGCTCGAGCACCAGGGGCAGCTTAAGCGCCTGCGCCCCAAGCGAGCCAGGGTCGAGGAGGCCCCTGCTGGCGGGGGCGGCGGAGGCGCCGAGGCTGCCGGGGCCCCGGCAGGGGCGGCCCCCAGTGGTGGAGGCGGAGCGGCCGCAGCCGAGGCTGGATCGGCGCCCACTGCTACGCGCTCTTCTCCTGCTACTCCTGAGTCTGCCGCTGGCGCCAGGCCAGGCTTCGGTGCGAGCGCATTTTACAATTCCTCCCCCCTCCCCGCAGGCGAGCCAGCAGGGGCTGCCTGAGGGGGGGGGGGGGGGGGGGAACCAGTATTTGTAATGAGCGCTGGCGCTAGCCTCGAGGGAGGCTCCGCAGCTGCCCCCACGAATCGGGATTCTTCCAGGCCCCAAGGTGTTTCTGCGGGGCCCAGTTTTGGTCCTGGCCCTGGTTCGGACGCTTCCGATTTTGTCGCTTTCAGAACGATGCCAGGAGAGTTAGCGCTGATCATAGAGTCTTGCAACGCTATCTCTTGGGGATCTTGTAAAGAATGGCTCGCCCCATACCAACGCCCACGTGATAGCTGCGCAAGAGCACCACTTAGCAACGGATGAGGGATGCAAGGAGGCCGCGGACTGGCGTTTGAGGCAGGGCTGGAAACGCTTGCTCGCACCGGCGTGTCCTGGGAAAAGGTGAACGGGGGTTCAGGTGGGGTAACCCTTCTACCAAGATCTCCTTGGATTTCATGATCTACCTCAAGGTTCCATCCTGCACCCACACAGGGCCATTGGAGGACTTGTGAACTTGCCAGGCAGCTCGTCTCATCCTTTCTTCTGTGGCTCGGTCTACCTCCATCATTCTGAAGGTCTGACAGATCGCAACGTGGACATTCTCAGCGCGGTAGGTGCGGCGGCCACGCTGCATTTGAATTAGGCAGTGGTCGCTGGAGATTTCAATGTGGCGCCAGGCGATATCATGGGAAGCGGTTTTCCAAAGAAGCTCTTGGGGCACGTGCTTTATCCCGAGTGTGCGGGGACCTGCGCGACCACTTGTATAAAGTCATTCAGGCTGTGGATGAGATTCAAACTTCCTACATCCCCCCACACACACACACACACACACACACACACACACACACACACCACCCCACCCCACCCCCACCACACACACACACACACATTCACATTCACACCCACACACACACACACACACACACACACACACGCACCAGTGCATCTCACCCTGCACCCCAAGGCACGCTCGCTGCAAGCTTTGGCTCGCGCCTAGCCCCCGCCGATTTCGCCCGAGAGGCCCGTCGGCCCTAGCCGCCGCCCCCCGCGTTGGACTAGGGCCCTCAACATGGCCAGGGGCTCGGTCGATTCGTCGGTGCCTGGGGAAGCCATCGGCGAGGCGACTGCCAGGCTGACTCGGCTGCATGGGCGCCGGGCACGTCTGGCGGAGGTCGAGGTCGCCGATGGTGCGCACACGACCCCCCCGCATCTCGGGGCGAGGGGGGGAATGCCGAGGCTGCAGTGAGAACCCGCGTTCAAGGCTGACGCTTGCAAAGGCCGCCACCCAGAGTTGTTCGCCATCAAGTGGTTCCACATCACGGCCAGGAAGTGGGCTGCGCCGCCCGCTTCTAAGGAGCTCGGGGTCAAATATTCTCTCTTGATTGAGCCCCCCAGCGAAGCTTGTCTGGGGCTCGCTCACTGTCAAGAGCTGGTGAGACAGTGTCAAGATTTCGTTCGGCAGGCTAGTGTTGAAGGGTCTGAGCAGTTTTTGGGACGCGAGTCTTCTCGGAATGCTGACGTCGGCAGTTCCGCGTTTGAGGCTCGGGGCGGCCCTCTGCCCCGCAGCAGGAGCGGCGTGCTTCGACTCTCGTCTCGCTCGACGCCGAGTTTGCGGACCCTTATGTCGATTTGGAAGGGGCCGAGGATGAAGGTTTCGAACACGCTTTCGACGACCGCGGCTTCCCTCGCCCCCCCCCCCCCCCGCGAGCCCGATTCGGTTTCGCAATTCTGCGTCAGAGCAGTCTAATGCCCCGTCCACTGCAGGTAGCCCCATGCAGGACCAACCCGTGCATCTCGATGATCTTGGAAGCAGCGGCGGCAGAGGCACAGCAGCGTGCCAGGGCCGAAGGAGCCAAGGGATGGAAACGCTCGCTGAGACACAATATCGAGCTGGGGGGAAGAAACGCTCACCTGGCCCGTCGGCCTGCGGCAGGCTGGAAACCCTCGATGACGTTGAGTTATTCGGGGGTTGTGGTCTCGGATCCCTTGTCCTTGGTCTGTGGTCAGGCTGGATGTGTGTGTGTGTGTGTGTGTTTGTTGTTGTTTCTTCTTCTTTTTCGGGCCTGTGGCGGGCGTCTAGCCAGCCTCGGCCCCAGCGCGGCGCTACATTCCTGGAGCCCTTGCCCCTCATGTCGGTTGATTTTGTGCGAGGCGTCTCCAGGAAGCATCCCCTCAGGACGTTTGTGGGCCGCATGGTTTCCATATGAGACACTGTAGCTGGATGGGCGACGATTGCTTGCAGGTTGTATGCCTCATGGCTTGTGCCGGGGAAATGATATCGAACCTCCCAGCCCAACTTCAAGTGGTGCAGCTCGCGCTGCTGATGAAGGCCTCGGGCGGCTGGAGGCCGATCGGCCTGTTCTGTTCGCTCCTACCGACTGCGGGGCAGGTGCCGCCGCAGTTTCGCGTTGGGGTGGGAGCTCAACAACCAGCGGAGTTTCTATGCAGGCCAGGCGTTTGCTCCAGCCAGCGACGCGGTTTGGAGACGAAGTTTCAGGGGGGCGGGGATTGCCCAGGGTCAGGCCCCGGCGACGCTCTTGTGGGATTTATCAAAGTTCAACGAAGCGATTTGCATAGTCCGCTTAGAGCAGCACTGCGAGATGTGTGGCTTCCCCGCCCCAATTTTCAGGCTGGCCATGCGAGCGTATCGATCGGCCCGCTTCGCGTGCCTAGCAGGCATCGTCACGGGGCCATTCTACGCCCTGAACGGCGTGATCGCTGGTTGCAGTTTCGCCGCGTCGTTCCTGAAAGTCCATATTCTGGAGGATTTCTCAAACTTACGTTTCTCGGAAGGCGTTCACCTCGATCAGTATATCGATGACAGCGGAGTTTCTGCGGTAGGTTCAGTATCTCAGGCGACTCAGGTGATCGACGGCCTGAAGAGTGCCAGCGCCCAGCTGTTCTCAGCGATCGAGCACGACCGGCTGCGAGATTTCTCGTGATGAGGCGGCTCTTGTGAGCTCCAGTAAGGAGGTCGTCTTGGCCGCGCGTCAGTTCCTGGGCCCCCTGGCAGGCCAAGTTACCGACAGCGCTGTGAATTTGGGGATAGACGACGCCGGCGGTAAACCTCGGCGGGCTGCTAGACGAGACCCCAGTGGAGGGTTCGGGCCGACTATCTGAAGACATGCACAAATAAGCGCATTCGTGTGCGGTGTATCCTTGGGAAGTTTACTCAGCGTATTTGGATATCTGGGGCTCGTCCTGGGATACTGTACGGTTCGGAAATCAATGGGCTGTCCGATTTCGAGTTTTTGAAGATCAGGCGAGAGGCTGGTAAGGCATTGCGTCCTGGGGGTGGGTGCCGTTCATTAACGTCGACGATCATTGCTCATAACGATCCAGCTTGGCATGGCGCCACTGCTCCCATTCTGCGGTACGCCGAGGATGTATGGGCAGCACAGACTCGCTCCTACCCCTACTGACTTACGTGGGCCCAGTTGCGAGAGGGCTGGGAGGCGGTGTTCAGCCGCCCAGAGCCGACGTGGCGCGAGGTCTCTGGGGCGATTTCAGCGCTTCGGCTGTCCCAGAAGAGGGTCAACTGGAGCATGAGCTGTCCCTTCACTTGTGTCAACGACTTCGGTGAATCGCTGCTGCTCACGGCTGTTCCGCCTGCGATGCTCAGAAAGATGTTACACGTTGCCTCGCTCGGGAGCCTCGAGCGTGAAGCTGCCCGCAAAGCTGGCATTCAGGAGCAGAGGTTGTGCTACGACGTTGTTCGCAACCACTTGAGGTCATCGAAGTACACCGACAGAGAAAAAGGGTCCATGCGCAGTTTGGTTTGCGAGGCCCTCTGGACATACGATAGAGCAGAGAAGACAGGCTACAAGGTCGCCGATTTCTGCGCGCTCTGTGGACAGCCTGGAGACACTGTCCAGCACCGTCTGCGGGCCTGCCCGAGCGTCTCCTCATTCCGAGGAGAGTTGGTGAAGTCTGACATTTTAAATGCTGCCGCTGACGCGGCCATGTCCGACCCTGCCCAGGCGTCGTTTTTTTTTCCTTCGGTGAGTGTTTCCTCACCCCGGGGTTTCCTCACCTCGGCCCTCCCTCGAAGACAGCGACTTCCATGCCGGGATGCTTTGGGGCGAGCCCCCCCCCCCCGCCCCGAAGGTGGCAGTTTTTCGGGCAACATTTTTGTTGATGGAAGTTGCCACAGGCACGTGATCAGCGAACTCTCTAGAGCGGGTTACGGATTGGCGTTGCTCTCAGACGACGGGCGTAGGCTAGGCTACTCGTCTGGGCCTGTGCATTCTCTTTTCATCTAGACGTCGCAATGCGCTGAGTTTGCGGGCATTGCGCGCGGGGGGGCTTTGAAGTCCTTTGCGCCGTCTACTCGGACTGTGAGAACGTAGTCTCGCTCAGCAGTAAGGCCAGCGAAGTGCAACTCAGTTATAAGAAGCCCTTCGCCGGTTTAATGATGATGTTTCGGCTGGGCGGGAGGTAGGTGGATGGGGCCACTAAGGTCAAAGCCCATTTGGACCCGCTGGAAACGGGCATCTCAGAGCGAGAGCGCTGGCTGAGAGTAGGCAGTGACGAGGCCAATGAGGCCGCCAAATTCGACGCATCTATGCACCCGCAACCGTCGGAAGCAGAAGTGCAGCAGTTGAATTTTCGGACTCGTGCCTCGCAGGCCGCGTGTGCGCTCACGGCTGAGGTGCTGCCGTCCTGGACGAGATTCGACTTGTCTGATTGCCCCTGGACCCCTCCCCCCAAAGAGCCTGAGGCCCCAAAGGGGCCAGGTCATGCGTGGGCTTGGGAGCTCATGGGGGATCGTCCTGGTTTCTGGAGATGCCAACAATGCTTGCTCTCTCGAAAAGGACCGAAGTTGCCGCCGTTTGGGGAGCGCCCTGATGTCTCGAAGCTCGATGGGCCTACCTTGAGGGCTCTAGGCACCAAGCGGTTGCCTTTTCAGTTTCGGATGGTTCCTTCATTACAGCGCGCTTGAAGTGCCATTCGCATGCTACTATTAGCTATGTGCGAGGGCTGGCTAAGGAATGTAGCAAACCCACGACCAAGCAGACCTGGTCCGTCAATCAGATTTGCAACGGCATCCATCCGATTCGCAAGGGCGTGTCGATTGAGCCTGTGCCGTGGAGGTAGGTGGACATGTGGACCAACACTGGGGATCCTCTCGTTGAGTGGGAGATCGCCTGGTGGTGGTGCCACGCGTCCGCCCTTTTTTTTCATCACCTTGGAGTTCATGTCAAAAAATACATACTCCTCCTCCTCCTCAACCTCCTCCTCCTCCTCCTCCTCCTCCACCTCCTGCGCATGCCCATGTTCAAGCTCATACTCATGCTCATGCTCATGATCACACTCCTCCTCATTCATCGCCCTAATGAGATGGAAGGGCAGGCTCCAAGAATCCAGACCCCCAGAGTGGCCTTGCAGATCCCCCCTGACAAACCACCCAACCCTCGGCCCTCCACCCAGAAGCTCGGATTTTAGCCAGCCAGCCTCCCGGCCGCCGCCGCCGCCGCCATGGGGGCGCGGGAGGGTCGGCTGTTTGGGATATCCCCACGGTCTGTTGCGCCGCTTTGGTGCAGGGAAAGCATTGAGGACCAAGGCCTGGACTCTTGAACGAACCCGAGAGTTACCGAAGACCCACGGAAGTCTCTGATCCCCCGATGGTCCCATGGACCCACAGAAGCTCTGGGGGCACCTTCGGGTTTTCAAATTTCGGCGAAGAGTGCGACCCTTCAGATTTTACCACATGTGTCTATAGCAACTCCTCGGAGCCAGGCCTTGGCCCCCCAGCCCACTGAGAAGGAGGGGGGGCGCAGCGCGCCCCAGGGACCGCGGAGAGCCGGCGATGGGCAAGCGGCGCCTCGCTGGCGGCGCCTATCACAGGGACGAGCTGGTGGGCCCCTCGTCAGGACCGGCATGCCCGCTTTCCGCCGGAGACGATGTCGCAGTTCTCGACGACATGTTGTTTTAAATCCTGGCGTGTTTCCTCGGTTTCGGCCTCCAAGGCTCGTTGTCGGGCCTTGGGGCCTTCAAGAACGGATCTAAGACGAGAAGCAACTCTTGGGGAAGAGATCGGGAGCTCTGGGGCCGCGGATTGAAAAAATCAGATCGTCGGATGTCTGGGATTGTACTACTTTGTGGAAGCAATGTGTTCCGAGACTCGAAAATGCAGGTTTCGGGCGTTTGGGGCAGGGGAAGACCGCTAAATTTTCGGGACGGGAGGGAAGGCCCCCAGGTCCAGGACACGGCTCCTTCAGCAGACCCCCGAGGTCGTGATTTTGTCTTGACGTGGACCCCCAGCGGTCTGGACCCATTCCCTGGGACCGGTGGTTCATCCTGAGCCGTGTTTTTCCGGTCCCGAGGCTCGGTAAGGGCCCCTGGAGGCTGAAAACAGCGAAGAAATTCCCATCGTGAGTTTTTCACAGCGCGAGGGGATCCGGGTCGTCCGCCATGTCAGCGATATCATACCGCTCTCGTGCGTGAAGGCCTTCGCAGCAGCAAGATCGGGCGTGACCAGGGAGGAGCAGGGGGTTGTGCAATTCTGGCGTGCAGGGCCGCCAGGCTTGATCCACTGGCGCGTGCAGGCTCTGCGGCAGCGCTATCGGACCAGCTCGTTCGTGCAGCGCTTCTTCCTGTGCTCTGATGTCTGGCTTCTTCTCCCGCGCGCCCCCTCTTGCAAACGGACGATGGGTTAGTCGCTTGCCCCCAGCAACTCGAATGCCCGTGCGGATTGCCTCTGCCGTGATGCGACGTAAACGATGCTCAGATGTCTGGTCTGTGCTCCGCGGGGAGCGGCTAGGGAACGGAGAAGAAGCAAGGAATCTCAGCGCATAGTTCCGCGGACGCGCGTGCACCGCTGAAGATGCGTTTGCCCTGCTTTCTTGTCTCCATCCTCTTGTCCTCTTCATCGTCAGTCTTGATGTCACGGTTCATGTTGCAAAGTATCGTAATCATCTTAGTGCGTATTTTGTGCATTTGCTTCATGATTGTCTGTGTTGCGATACGTGTTCGGATGTGTGAATGAGTGCACTTGACGGCTATGAGGAACGCTAATACGGAACGAAGCCCGTCTGAGGCGCCCAAGCTTGGGTGTACGAGCAGCGCTAAGGGAACAACCATGGAAGGACCTACAGAACAACCAGTCCCTCCCGAACCCGAATTGTTCTTTATTTCTGCGTCATGGCTGTATTGTTCCTGCCTGGTTTCTTTCTGCCGTGGCACCACCACCAAGTTACATAGGTTCGTATTTGTTTCGTGTTCCGCGTGTTTCCTGGAAGGCGTCTTTCAACATGACAGAGAAGTAGTTCTTCAAGTGTCACGAACGGGTGAGGGAGGTGCGATAAGTATCAGAGTGACCGGAAACAGCCGCTTCAAGTGGGGTACGGCTCGTTCCAGGGAGCGCCCGCGCTGAACAGTTCGGAGAAGATATTCCGGGGCAAGTACCACGAGACGAGCTTCCCGCCCATGCGCTTGGACTAGGGAGTGAGACCGCAGTTCGCTGGCCGATGCAGAAAAGCAGCGTCGCGTTTTCCCGCCGCCACATCCAGAGATGGACATTTAGCCATGATGACGTGTGGTAGTTGCGACATGTCCTCAGGAAGCTCGCAGCAATCGAGCCCACGCGACTGAATACCACGGCCCGAAGCGTGGGCAAAGGAGCACTCAAACGGTCGGCATGCTTACTTCCAGCAGTGAATTTCCGCAAGAGGATTGCAATACAGTGGGCGCATCCTCTAAGAAACCGACTCCCGTGGAAATGTCCTATCCCCCGATGGCCCAGGGACCCACAGAGGCTTCACGGCACCTTAGGACCTTCAAGGATCGACGAAGAATGTTCGCCCAGTTCTCTTATGTTGATTAAGATGTTTGTCGTATGTGTCTATTGCACCGCGCATCAGACCAGCTCACTGCAAGAGAGATTGCCTGTCTGGGTGCGGGCCTGTCCTTCGACTCCTCTGCGGATCGCGGCCCCCGGCGGGAGGAGGGGGGGACCAGCCCTTGTTGTACAACGCAGGGGGAGACTTCTGGTTTCTGCAACCTTTCCCAGACAACAATACGGTGGGGGCGCTAATTAAGGAACGTGCACGGTGGGCGTCAGACCTTGGAGGGTTCCTTATCTGATGAGGGCGGCGGTAGTATCCACTGCCAATCCGCGATTGGAGGTCCACTGGCTTCCAGACCCAGAGTTCCACTGGCTTCCAGACCCTGGATTCCTTATCCAATGCTTCCTTATCCCATGCCCCCACCGTGGTCAAGATATTGGCATAGGGACCCCTTTGGTTTCAGAAGGGGCCCTGGTGTTCGGGCCGCTCCGCAGTGCTGGATCGGGGAGCCTAGTTCGTGGCCGAGGCTCGCCGTGGCCAGAGCAGCCCCTTCGTTCCTCACCCGGCGCTCCCCGTGGCAGCACGAGCCTCGCAGGAGCAGAGTTGCAAGTGCGCGTACGTGGATTCGCCAGTGCAGGCTAATCGCGATAGATTTGTTAATTTCACCGGTGATCGCATCAGCCAGAGCACTAAAGAAGTGATGGGCCCTGAGAGGAGGAAAAGGGGGAGGAGGAGGAGGAGGGAAGGGAGCAAGAGGAGGAGCGAGGAAGGAGGAGCGAGGAAGGAGGAGGACGAGGCGGAGGAGGAGGAGGGGGAGGAGGAGGAGGAGGAGGAGGAGGAGGAGGAGGAGGAGGAGAGAGTGGAGGAGGGAAGAGGATGGAGGACGGAGGGAGGGGCATGGAGGAGGAGGACGAGGAGGAGGAAGGCAAGGTGAAGAAGGAGGTGGACGAGGAGGATGGCGGAGGATGAGGAGGAGGAGGAGGAGGAGGCGGAGGGGGAGGAGGAGGAGGAGGTGGAGGGAGAGGGGGGAGAAAAGATGAGGGAGATAGATGACGAGGCGGATGAGGAGAGGAACTTGGCGTATGCGCGCACGTTCCGCAGCCATTTTTTGTCGAATTGCGATAGCTTTGTTAATTTCACCGGTGATCGCATCAGTCAGAGTACTAAAGAAGTGATGGGCCCTGAGAGGAGGAAAAGGGGGAGGAGGAGGAGGAGGGAAGGGAGCAAGAGGAGGAGCGAGGAAGGAGGAGCGAGGAAGGAGGAGGACGAGGCGGAGGAGGAGGAGGGGGAGGAGGAGGAGGAGGAGGAGGAGGAGGAGGAGGAGAGGAGTGGAGGAGGGAAGAGGATGGAGGACGGAGGAGGGGGCATGGAGGAGGCAGGACGAGGAGGAGGAAGGCAAGGTGAAGAAGGAGGTGGACGAGGAGGATGGCGGAGGATGAGGAGGAGGAGGAGGAGGAGGAGGAGGGGGAGGAGGAGGAGGAGGTGGAGGGAGGGAGAGGGGGGAGAAAAGATGAGGGAGATAGATGACGAGGCGGATGAGGAGAGGAACTTGGCGTATGCGCGCACGTTCCGCAGCCATTTTTTGTCGAATTGCGAGCTTTGTGCTTGCAGCCTCCTTTCAGCCACATCCAGTATGCTGTCGAAAATTATTGCGTTGTGTGTTCCTTTCCGTGCGATTGCCCCCCCGCCGCCAATGGATTTCCCTTCCAGCATCCGTGGCGTGTACAAGACCTTGGCGCTTAGATGCCACCCCGACCACGGAGGCACGAATGAAGCGTTTCGTTTGGTGAGCCTGGCATACTCGCGCAACTTGCCGACCAACGAGTACGAGGAACTTGTTCGAGGAAGAGAAAGCGACGCAAACATAAGCTTTCGGAGGTCCGCGCGGATTTCTTGGATCGGCACTGGACACCCTTCCCTCGTCGTCGTCGTCGTCGTCGTCGTCGTCGTCGTCGTCGTCGTCGTCGTCGTCGTCGTCCGTCGTCGTCGTCGTCGTCCGTCGTCGTCGTCGTCGTCGTCGTCGTCGTCGTCGTCGTCGTCGTCGACCGTCGTCGTCGCCGTCGTCATCGTCGTCGTCGCCAGAGGCGCCGCCGGGAGGGGGTCCGGCGCCGATCCAAGAAATCCGCGCGGACCTCCGAAAGTTCATGTATAGGTTTCTAGTGGGATCAAAAGAGAGCAGCAGATCACTCCACAGGGGGGTCCGGGCAGGTGTTGGGAGTTGCCGGGCGGCAGTGAGCCGGGCTCGTTTTTCACCAACAGTCACACACTTCGTGCTCTTCGCCTTCCCAGAAACTCCATTCCCAGGCCACATTCTGGGGGGCCGGATGCAACTGTAGGCCACTTCGTGCTCTTCGACTTCCCAGAACTCCATTCCCGGGCCACATTTTTGGATGCCCGGAGCCAACTGTAGGCCACTTCGTGCTCTTCGATTTCCCAGAACTCCATTCCCGGGCCACATTTTGGATGCCGGAGCCAACTGTAGGCCACTTCGTGCTCTTCGAGTTCCCAGAACTCCATTCCCGGGCCACATTTTGGATGCCCGGAGCCAACTCTAGTCCACTTCCTGGTCTTCGAGTTCCCAGAACTCCATTCCCGGGCCACATTTTGAATAGCCAGACGCTTCATACTCCTTCCGCCACAGCTGTGTTTGGTTCAGGACTTGCTAGTGACACTGCAGTCCTCTGCATTCAATCGTGCCACTGCATTCATTCACTGCAGACCACTGAGTTTTGATTGCAATGGCGTTCCCCTGGCCGTACCCCCATGTCCAACGTTCATCCGCAGCCTCTGCTCCGCGAGGCTCGTCCGAAGTGTCGCCGCCTCGCGGTGCTTCTCAGCCTGCGCCGCCTCGCGGTGCTTCTCAGCCTGCGGAGGAAGGTGGACAGACGCCTGGTTCTGGCGCTGTGCAGCCTGCGTCTTTCACGGTCGCCTCGTTCAATTTCGGGTTCGAGCAGGGCATGATGACTGGTAAGCAGGCGGCCACTCACTGCGCTAACTTCGGAAGGGTGTGCGCCACGATAGTGGAGACCGCTGATGCTGATATTGTCTGTGGCTGCGAGGTCGGTGCGTTCCGTGAAGGCTTTCGCCGAGCAGGGATCAACGTGACAGAGATCCTCAGTAAGCCTTTCGGTGATGGCATTCGCTTCTCGGAGGTCGACAACTACTTGACTCTCTGGGGGTTCCGCGGTGCTTCTCAGCCTGCGGAACTGACTCTGTGCGAAGACAGCAAAGTTTACAGGCCTCCTAGCGGCCGAGAGATTGATGCTGTTATTTCACATTTTGAGGTGAACAAACCAGGCCATGACAAGTTCCACGTGGTGATCGCCAACATGCACATCGTGTGCGGCAAGAAACCGCCGACCATCCAGACTCGAAAGCGGACAGTTCGCCATCTCCGCTTGCACCTGGACGGCCTGGCCAAGATTCTTGAGAATCTAAACCAGGCAGTCGTTCTGCTTGTAGTCGGCGACGACAACCTCACTTTCCAGGAGGCGCGGGAGGCTTACCAGCGCCAGCAGAACGACGAGAAGCTCTGGGAGGTCCATGCCACTCCGGCCGACCTCAAAGGCGACCACGTCGCGGTCTGCGGAGCAGTCGCCCGTTTCTGCTCCATTGCCGTTGGCGCGTCTTTTACGGATCGTGGCATGCGCAACGACGCACACGATGCGGTGGCGGTTGTGCTCACTCTCCCTGGTGCTATTCAGCCTGGGGAGAGCAAGAGGCGGAAGATTGTCGTCGAAAACGTCTCCGACGCCGACGTCAGCGTACAGGCGGACCGCGAGTCTTCTGTGCATTGGGATCGGTCGCCGAGTTCTACTCCTCCGCTTTCACCGACTTCACCGGGTGATCCCGACTACGTCGAGGATGTCGTTCAGAATCGCGCGGACGACTTGCACAGGGAGCTGAGGCAGCTTTGGGACGACAGGTACGACGAGGAGTACGATCCGAAAGTCCTCCATCATCTCAGTCTCTTGCTTTTCAAAAAGAGGAAGTCCACGGAGCCAGCGGACACTAATCCAGCTGGCGCTCCTCAGCCTGGCTCGGAATATGACACGGCCTTTGCGTCTCAGGAGGAGACTGGCCGAGCCATTCTCTCTGTCCTTAAGCTTCGACATGACTTTCTGCGGAGCAAGAACATCGACGACATGCGCTACGTTCTCACGGAGCCTGAGCGCCAGGAATTGGTCAGAGTAGCTCGCGACCAGTACGAGCAGTCGCGGCAGCAGCGTGCGCTTCAGGAACGGGATATCGAAAAGGGAAAAGCGAAAGGCAAGTCTGCGCCACAAGGGGGCCATGCGGTTCCGCAGGGTCCTAACAAAGGGCCAGGCGGTAAGAAAGGTTCTCACGGTGCTTCTCAGCCTGCGGGAAAAGGTGGCCAGGCCAAGGGTGCAGGTCTGGGTAGCGTCGCCAAGTTTGTGAAAGACCAGAAGCGCAAGCGGTGGCATCGCCATTTGCAACGTGTGGCCGGTACCAAACAGATCTGGGAGGTGCTGGCCTTCTCAGGGCGCTTCGACGTTGATTGGCTAACGCAAGCGTTGCAAGCTGATCACAGTGAGGGCCGTGATGCAGCAGTTCCCGAGGAAGCTCTGCGGCAACAGCGGCGCCGGCTGCACCACCAGAAGGCCGAGGCCATCGCGCGCTACAACGAGGGGGAGCGGCTTTCCCTCCATCTGTCTGCCCAGGCTGGCCAGGCAAAGCCGAACTTCACGCGCAGGCAGCTGGACGTGTTGCAGATGTTTGAGAGCGGAGCGCTGCTTCAAATCCGCAACCAAGCGATTCTGGCGTTGGGGCACGGCCGTCTGTTCAGGGGCGATGGCGACTACCTGGACATCGGCGGCAGCGCGGGCGGTGGCTCCAGGCGCATCATCGATTCTTGGCAGCCGCCGGACTGGCGTGATTTCCTCCAAGACGATCAGGACATCTGAGTTTTGCAAGTCTCCCTGCCCGCGGTGCTTCTCAGCCTGCGGTCTGCCGCTCTCCAGCTGCGGTCTCGAGCAGTAGTGTTCGAAAGCATGCGAGTTCCTGCGGTGCTTCTCAGCCTGCAGGTTTCGCAGCCTGCGCTCTGCAGTACAAGTGCTTTTCAGCATGCGACATCCTGCGGTGCTTCTCAGCCTGCAGGGTTCGCAACGTGCGGTTTGCAATGCATTCCTTTTCAGTATGCGAGTTCCTGCGGTGTTTCTCAGGCTGCAGGGCTCCGAGGCTCTTCGCTTCGATGCCAATGTTTTCAGACACCGTAGCTCCGTTCCGTAAACATCTTCCAAGAGCCGCTCGCAACCTTTTGCAGCTGGCTGTCTGCAGACGTAGTCTGTCTCAGCATGCGAGCTCCCGCACGCTTCGCCGGCTTTTGCTGCGCGGACAATTTTCTCACACACGTCAGCGCCGTTTGTAGGCGTCAGAAAAAACATGTAGACATTCACGAAGGGCTCAGTCTGTATATCGTCACATCATTACATACGCAGTCGTCGAACACATCGGTGTACATTCAGCGCTTTGTCCTTCTACAGCATTCTTTCCGTTGATAACAGTGTTCTGATGGGTTCGCTTCGTTCTAAAAGCGTTGATAGCAGTGTCTCGTTTGCGGACAACTCATTCTATATCAACTCACTGATACCGAGTTTCCTTTCACCATAAGTGAATGCATACCAGTGTATGTTGGTTACTACAAAAG